GTCAGCTCCGTGGTGGAGCTGCTGCTGCGCCGCATGGCAGCATCGGGGTCCCGGATCAGGATGGTGTGGAGAGGGCTGGCGGGCTCTGAGTTGGCGGCGCCCATCGGGGGATTCTTCATGGGCTCCAGCGTGTCCAGGACCACATCGGGGGCCTGCTTGGCCGTGTTTTGCCTCTCCAGCTCCCGCAGCTCGTTCAGCGCCGTGCTCATGGTCTTCTCGATGTCCTGTGAACACCACCAACGACGGGACGTCAGCACCGTGCCACAGCATCGCCCCACTCTCCTGCAGCCCACCCCGGGAGAGCCCTCCCGCCCTGGCACGTGTGTCTGTGCGTGAGGGGGTCTCTGACCTCAGGTGGAGCCTCCAGGCAAAGCAGGAGCTTTGGGAGAAGATGTAAAGCCCAAACTCTGGTCACACCAAAGTGCCCCGTATCTCCCAAGTCAACAGGAGTTTGGTCGCCAACTCCAAAGGGAGCAAACCACAAGTGATGGGGTGACCATGAGTGATGGGGTGAACACCAGCCTGTCCCCAGCTCCAACAGGACAGGGCATCTCCCCCAGCACTGCGGCTGGTTTGTCCCCAAAGCAGCTGCCCTGCAGCCTCCATCAGGTGAACGGGACCTCTGCTGTCCCTCTGCCTACAGGGCAATGGCACGTGTGGGGACAGAAACGCACAGGGACGTATTCGGAGTGAGCACCATGATGACAGCTCACCATAAATAAAAGAGAGGCAGCGACATGGCCTCTCCCTGCGCGCGGGGACGCAGCCAAGGTGAGACGGGCCCCAACCCTCACTGCCCACCCGCCTCCGGTCGCGTCTCCTAGGCACGGCCTCCACGGTCCATCCAAGGGGATCCTCCGGAAAGTGAACCCAGTTCAACTCAAAGTGGCCATTTAAAGGAAATTAGCTAAACTGCCTACAACTGCAGTGCTGATCGTCTCATTCAGAATCAGAGAGGCCCTGGTGTGGCTTCCCTTAAATCCGCCTTAACTGAATTAAGGCCACTAACTCCGAAAGAGACCATCTGAAAAGCGATTTAAGGCAACTGAGTTAATCGTTTAAAAAGTAGCTCTAGTTAACTCGCTGTCCTTGTGTAGATGAGTCCTTAATTTTATAATGCATACAAAATGCTCGGTGAGCCTCAGATAATGTTCAGAGGATCAGCAGAAGGGAAATAATTATCAGGTTAGCTCCAATTAATTCTATTAAGCTGTTTAGATAACGAGTGAAAATATTCTCCCAGAGCTAAGCCTCAGGACTACCAAGTCCGGCAGTCCTACAGACTTCAAGGTAAGTATTTATTTACATCAGCTGAGTGAGAATCTTTTCCAAGGTTTAAAAAAACAACCCAAAACCTCAAAAGCCAAGAAAATTGTACATATTGTGCTCCCTCCTCACCATTCACCCATCCCTCTGGAGGCTGCCGGACCCCACAGCCCCACACGGCACCTGGGGACCGCGGCCCCGGCGTGCCAAGCTACTGCCCACCAGCCCAGCCCGGGCACTTCCTGCACGCTGTCACCCCGTGCCAAGGTGGACATGGTGCCCGAGCTCGAGCCATCACTCAGGGCATGCACTGCGCTATGACCACAAGTTTGTAAATCGACCACACCAAACGCAAGCTCTCGATGGACAGAGAAGCTGGGTAGCGTGCTGCAGAGCAAGAGAACGAGGAGCGTGGCTGGTGGAAAAGCAAACAGGACAGTAAGAGTTCTTCCTTTCTGCAATTGTCATTAATTATCCCACTGAAAGCAGCTGATTCGAAGTTTGACAGCCCGCCAAACCCTGTGGCACACGAGTGGCTGCCAGGCGGTGGGCAGCGGCCTCCCCAGCAGCGGCACCCCTCCGCCTGGGCATCCCCGATGGTTCCCCAGCTGCTGCTCCCGCCGGAGGGGGGCACGAAGCAAACCAGGGGAACTGCCGCAATAGGGGATGCGGCTGACCACAGCGCTCCCAGCCCAACCTGCAGCTGCTCAGAGAGATCTGCGGGGACCGCGCCTGAACTAGGTGGTCCCCGAGAGGCTGGGGACCTCTGCAGCCTGCTCCGTGGAGGGACCATTCTCCAAGGTGTGAACAGGTTTGGTACAGCCTGACTGACACCTGGCCGGGGGCCTCCTGCCAGCGGCAGGGAGAGGAGACCCACAGGCTACGCTGCAGTTAACGTGAGTTTAATGAGCACCATGGAACCAATGGCCTAGTGTGATGCTGATGTTGCATGGCTCGAGGCATCGTATTGGGATTAGGCTAACTTTTGGGGGTCCTAGCTACAAAGAGCCAGTAACAAACGCGAAGCACTTTTCTCCAAACACTGAGCACCAGTCAAATTCCGATTTGGCAAATCCAGTTTTCTCCTCTTAAGCTCCTTATGGAGCATCAGATGAAGATAATGCGCTTCACTCCCTGTGGGAGCTAAGAACCGCCAGCGCATTTCGGTGGTGGATCGAACATTTCTGTCTATTGTTTCGAAGAAACAAGGTTTGTGGAAGGAGGCAGTATCTTTTATTAGACCAACCGATACAGTTGGAAAAGCAGGCAAGCTGTTGGCTGCTCATTTTTATCTTTAAACCGCCGCAGCTACAACAGCACTGTAATTCTGAAGTGTGTTGAGATGGAAGGGGCTCTGCGGCACTCCCCCCGTGACTTGACTTTTAGCTTCTCGATCCCCGGGGACCGAGAGCCACTGCACAACCCTCTTACCTCGGCAAGCGCTTCTGCTTCTAGAGATTTCTGATCTCCGAGACTACTGTGTCTAGTCGATCCACAGGTCGATCTCAGCGGGTGGCCATCAGACAAGGCCTTCCTGTCTGGGAAATTGATGCTGCCTGCACTGCCGAATGTCGCCATTCTGCGCTTTTCAGGACTCTCAATCCTGCCCCTGTTAAGAGGTATTTTGTGGGGGCTGCTAGGGCAGGCCGCTGCTCGAGGAGGAGTGTCTATGCCAGGACCCATCCCTCGGGGCGGGCTGTGGGTGTCCCCCCCGCTTCGACGGCGAGGGATAGCTGCACCGTCAGACCTCAATCTCACTCTGCAAAGAATCCATCACAAGACTAGGTCACCGTCCGTCAGATTGAAAGCGTCTGGTAGCATGCTGTAAGACAACTGCTCGGCTCTGAGAGTTCAGATCAAACCAAACTCCAGCCTTTCAGCGCCAGAGACTAAGGCGAGAGGGAAGACAGACATTTTAGCCAGTGCCAAGAAAGAGACAGCATTGTACCTTCTTTACGTGTTAAGATCTACATTAGCAATGCACACAGAAACCCCCTCCATGCTCACATTATTCTGCCACGCTTACTGGAGCCTCCCCTTCTGTCTTGCCCTACACCACACACTGACTCTCCCCGCATGTGACAGAGACCACCTCCGCGTCCATAGGAAAGTGAGAGTTTCCCTACCGGCCCATTACTCCCCCAAAGCCATAGTCCACAATATGATCCGTCGGAGATTGGATGTCGTTCTTGGAGGAGGCTTTATCATCCAGCAGAGGTCCGCTGCTTGCCTCGCTGTCTGCCTTCTGGCTCAGGCTGTCGGAGAAGGCATCATCCCTGGGGAAAGGAGACCCCCATCAGTGCGGGCTCTGCCCCAGCAGAGAGGCTCGGGCCCAGCCACAGCGCGGACCTGAACTTCACCACTCCAGCAGCGCCAGGCTTTGTTAACAAAGGGCTGGACCAAGGCTACCGGTCAGACAGTACCCAGAGCTCGGAAAAAGCGAACGTCGGGTCTCCACATCCCCCTGCGCTGTAGCTGCCATTTAGTGAATGCAGGTACAGTACTTGTGACAGAAGTGGCGCTGGCGAAGGACCCTGGGACATGCCTACAGGCCAGGTGGGCACTGAACAACGCCAGGTCGACACACACAGCGGGCAAGGCCAACATTAAACCTGGGCCGTGCCGCTTGGAGCAGTCGATGACAGACGGGGTTCAGGCACACTGAACTACAGTTTAGTGCTTGGCTTTATCGGCTTGAACAAGAAACAATCTGGGCCAATAAATGGAGAGGGATATGTGGACATATCCAGATTTCTCACCAAGGTCATTAAACCAGGGAAAACCCGCCCACCTGTTTTAGGTGGCTGAAGGTGGACCTCATGTCAGTATGTGATTTTAACAACCCAGATCAACACACGCCACTTTACTCACATGTCTTGCACCACAATGTACTGGTGGGGTATGAGGCCATCCACACCGTTATGTCTCCCTTCCCACCAGTCTTCTGAGGCCCGATGGTACAGCAGGAGCGAGGCCCCTTTCTTAAAGGAGAGCTCTCGTGGAGACCGTCCAACATAGTCAAACTTTGCTATGGCTTCAATCTGCTCCACTTCTGCAGAGGAGAGAAGCACAAACAGAGAAAATCTCAGCTCAATCACAAGGGCACAATAAATCCTAGAAAGAGGCATCGCATCAGAACAGCGCTAATGCTGCTGCCCCAGCTTCCTGAGAGTACCTTACACTGAGCACAAACCATCTTATTTTTAGACCGATCAATTCTTTTTGTTCTTCCAGCCTTCCTGGAATTTCTCACAGACTCACAACCTACCAGCAATTACAAAAAGCTACAAACCAGATGGGGAGTAGTCGAAATCTCCCTGTGTGCATATCGCATCGTCACCCACACTCCCATTTTCTACCTATAAAGTGAGTTCTTCAGTTACAGAACCCCATTATCCTCCAGACTGGGATCTTGTCAAGCTGTGTCGGATGCTGTGATCAAAGCCTCGCTTACCTTCTCTTCCTTTCCTTATCCTGGAGACAGTTTGGTCTGAATTATTGATGAGGAACGAATCCCCCTTTGGGGATGCCCACAGAAACACTGACACTGGTGCTGGTCAGGCAGCTGCACACCCCCCATCTGCAGACCTTTCAGCACTCCATCTCACTGCTTCTCCACTTTTTCTAACTTAAGCTCTACCAAATACCTGGGATTCACGAATTGGGAGCTCAGGGCCTGCAATTCAAGAGGGCTGAGGCAGGACTTCACTTTGGGAGGTCATAAGCACACCAGGAACCTTTGAGCCCCTGGCCAAGGGCATCACAGCGGGATGTGGACCCAAAGAGGACCCTGGTTGGCACTGGGGAGCCCGTGGAGGAGCCCAGCTCTTCTGCAAATCTGTTTCCCACTGGGAGCACTGAATCCCAGAGAAACCGCCACAGCGATTGTGAAGCAGCACCAGCGTTTCTCTCCGCGCTGGCAGGAGCAACCTGCACTCCACCTCCCTTTGCCCCGAGACCGGGGTGAAAAAGCAGGCTGCCACCACCCAGCCACCTCTAGCCACTATCGGAGCCAGCGAGCAAGCAGTTAATGTACCTTGATTATTTGCAGGACCTAATCATTTTAAACCCCACCTGCAGACTGGCAGATGGGCGATGACAAAGCTAAACAGGGCAAATCTGCCCAGTTTCTCCAGATCTGTCACGTTCTCATTAAAACATGGAAACCTGCTCTGGTCCATCTGCCTCATCACTAACCACAGGCTCGGCATCAGCAGCAGTCAGGATGTGACCATCCCTCTGCTCAGCAACAAAAACCACACAGAGGAGAAGACACCGGAGGAGGACGTGGGAGATGCTGCACCAGACCCCTGCCCCATTCCCTGCCTCACATGGAACAGGACAGGTCACTTCAGCTGACCGATTTTCCCCAGGGTAAAATACACATCCGCACCAATACGAGCAGCAGGGTGTTTGGGAGCACTGCAGCAGGATCAACGGGGAACGCGCTAGAGGAAACGTAGTGGGGGAGGTGACCAGGAGGGCTCTCTCAGCCCCAGTAAAAAGCTGAGTCTCCCAGCAGGGAGGGTGTGTGGGGCGAGGGAGAGGGGAGGAAGGAACGTGTAATTTCATAAAATAAAGCTGCTCTTCTTCTCCATACTTGCACCACAGTTAATCACCCGGAAACTCCAATCAGAACTATTAATGTGACCATCCAAGCATAAAATTGGCTAAATGGCAGCTTGCGCTCCTTCGTCTTCTAGTCCTGTCGGCTCCTGTTTGTAGCTGAACGCAGGTCCTGAGCCGTCCAGCCCAGCTGCGCCCTTCCCCTCCTCCCGGCAGTGCCAGCCAGCCCTCCCGCCACCGTCAGCCTCGAAGGTGTCAGCGTTTGCTGGGGCCGGACGCATCCAAGGGAACAGCAGAGGAGGCATTCGGCTGCCCAGTGCCCTTCCGACGCAGCAAAGTCCCACCATTAAATGGTGGTGTGGGGCTGCGCGTCCGCCGCCCCCCCGCAGTGCCAGTGCCAGCAGGGTTTCCT